AATGATTTTGTAGCCACCAACCAAAGTAAACAATAAGTTAATAGATTGTATGGCCATCATCAAATAGACATATAATACAATAGTTTTGCAAATTGTAAAATAATTCTACTAAAATGAGTCAAATTAAGAAAAATTCAAAATTCCCTACTAAGGACAAAAGAAATAAGAGACTATCAATCCTATTTTCTCAAGTATTCTTGAAGTATTTAGAACGAGCTATATTTTAATTGTACCATATGAGTGTAGTTCTATCACGAATCACAAAAGAACATTCGATTAAGTAGAAATTTGATACAAATCCTTAATTTTGAAGTACGTTAAACTAATGTTTCATTTGAGATGACGTTTTTATTGCTTCTTAAAACAGTTTTTGTAAATCAGCTTTAAAAAACAGTAAAATAGTTGTCTCAATTGGAGCCTGAGTTAGAAACTTCTTGAAATTAATTGAGGAAATAAATGAACTACAATTTTAGTAAACTTACATATAATAGTTTGCTTAACCATGATGATTTCAATGACACCAAAGAAAATCACAAATTCTTAACACAATTTTGCCTAAACCCTAAAAAATTGGGGGATAAAATAATAAAAAGTCCTGATTCAGAAAGTTTGTTTTAGTTGATGAAGAAAAAAATAGAGATTCATTGATTTAAATTTTTAATAAATTTTCTATGATAATGATGCAATGCAAAAATTTCTAACCAACAGGCATTAAAGAATTTTTACATTAAATAAAAAAATCATTATGAGAAACAATGATAAATTCTCTTAAGTTTGCAATCAGTTAAGTAACAATTTTAACAAAGTTGGTGTTAATAATTTTTTTATATATATATATAACTTTTGAGGGGAATTGGATATGTTATATATATTCATACAAAATAAAAAAAAAAGGTATAATTTTGTCAATGAAATTTTCTGAATACAAAAAAATATCATAATCTTAATATTAGAATATTTGAAAATTAAAATTATACTAAAAATCAAAATGTTAGAATTTTATAACAAAATTTTTTTGAAGGAAATACACCAATGCTCATGCTCATCTAGCAATAAATTGGACTAAATAATTTTTTTTTTTTTTTGAATTTAGGACAATTAAAACAAACTCAAATACATATCACAAACGCAAGACTCGAATCCAATACCTCTTATTGGTACTCAGTGCTCCCAACCAGCTAATAAAGGAGAGTTGCGTGGATTAAATTTTTAAGAAAATACACAAATATGAATAAGAAAATTACTAAATATAAAAAATCAGGGTATCATTTTATATATTGGTATTTTTTTTGGGGGACTCTACTAGTTGACATTTTGCATCATCATAATAAAAATATGATGTTGAATTGGCCAATAATTTTTTTTTTTAATAAAAAAACTGTTTTAAAAAGTAATAAAAAATTTTAATTTTTATACAAAAAAAACTGAATGCTATCCCGAACAAATCCTTAGTTTCCATCTCCAATTCTACCATCAGAACATTTTTTTTACTAATTTTTTCCTTCTCAAGTATTTATATTGTTACTTTTTACCAGCTCTCATAACTTCAATTAACATGATTATCTTATGTTTATGCATATAAGGGTCACTAAGAGAATGAAACATTATGATCTCATACCGAAAGGCCAATAATGCAAATATATTTTATAAATTTGATAATTTTTATTATAATACTATATTATATTTATATAATATATATAAAGATGTTGTATTTTTATTTTAATATCATTTTATTATTATGATCAAATTTTTAACATTTTACTCATATTCATAATTTTTTAATATTATTAGATTTATAAATATGAATAATTTAAATTAAGCTTGAGGAATTTATGAATATGATTATATTAATTCATACTATGTACCAAAGCCCTACATGGGGTCCTGGTTGGGTACCCATGCTTTATTGGGACGGGCTTCGCCCACCCACGCCCACCCATGGTGACTTTCACCATGCCGTACTGTTAGGTTTTATTCCAGATTTCTTAGGTTTGTTTTTGTATAGCTTGTGTGTGGCTATTTGTATAGCCTTTAGGAGTCTTTAAATAGGTGTGTTTAGGCTTGCAATAGGTAGCCAAAGGGAATAAAATTTGAGATCATTTTTGGCTCACGGTTCCCTCCTCTCCCTCCTCCTCTCTCCCTCTCTAGATCTTGCAAGAAGATCTCTCTCAAGAAGATCCTCCTCCTTGAGTTTCAACAATCTGGTATCAGAGCTAGGAAGATGGAGGAAGTTCTTGCATTCAAGAGAAGCAGAAGATGAAGTCGGACTCAGGCTCGGTTCTTGAGCCGGACTTGTACCGCGACTCGATCGCAGACGGAGAGCGGAAGATTGCACTCGGTTCGGCTGACTGGGCAGAGCTGAATCGGGTTGAGCTCACCGGACCGGAGTGGACGGGCTTGGCAAAGGGAGCACAGACGGCAGCTTGCCGGTGATTTTGTAGGCAAGGCAAGGTCCGGAGAAAGAACTGGTCAACACCGCTTCTTAATCGGGATTTTGGATCGGCCGAGCAGGCCGGACGCCCGACTAGGTTACCGGAGGTGGACCAGGAGGAAGAAATCGGAGGCTGGACTGGAGCAGGCGGCTTGTCAGGCCGGAGGTGGAGGCCTGTTGGGATCCTCCGGCTAGAAGGAATAGCGGGCCTGTGACGCAAAGAAATAAGGGAGATCGCACGTGCTGGGAGCTGGTCACTGGAGTCACGCCAAGCCATACTACACTGAGGGAGCCGAGCTTCTTGATTCAGTTCTTGATGTGGTTAGGAAGGAGGCATGGGCTTATTCAATCGGACTGACCAGAGCAAGAAAGAAGCAAAGCCCCGGAGTTGCCGGTAGTGGGTGAGGAGCTGAACTGAGGCGGTGGTTTGCTCGGCCTGATCCGTTCAGGCTCAATCAAAGAAAGCTTGGAAGCAGATTTTTTTTTGTTCTTAGATTAAAATAACGGTTCAGTTCTTGAAGAGATTAGATCTTTTTTGTGGTGGAATTTTGGACTTCAGGTGGAGTCCTGGAGACACTGAGGTAGTGTCGGCTGCTCTTGGAGAGCAGGGTTGAAAGTGCGAGGCGCTTGGAGATGCGTGGTCGTGCGGTGCACGAGGAGTCCGCATAGGAGTGCGGGGCACTGGTGACGATCGGAGCGCAGGTGAAGGCGCAGGGCTCGCTGCATGGGTGGATACGTGCATGATGTGGTCGGTGACAAACCACATGAGTGCAAGGCGCGAGCGCGGGATTGTGGCGTTTAGACACGGGCTGGAGACGCAGGGCGCGGCCACTGAGGCGCAGGGTGCTGGTGGATGCACAGGGCGCGGAAGCCGGGCTAGGGGTGCTCGGGGATTGGCTGCGTTGGACGCAGTGCGCAGGAGATATGTCGGGAGGTGGAGATAGAATGTCGGTGGACGCTTTTGGCGGAAGAGACCGACATGATCATTCTTTGGCTGTTCTTTATGAACAGTGGTTATCTTGTGTTTTGTTAAATCTGGACTAAGGGGGTGATTGTTAGTTTTTATTCCAGATTTTTTAGGTTTGTTTTTGTATAGCTTATGTGTGGCTATTTGTATAGCCTTTAGGAGTCTTTAAATAGGTGTGTTTAGGCTTGCAATAGGTAGCCAAAGGGAATAAAATTTGAGATCATTTTTGGCTCACGGTTCCCTCCTCTCCCTCCTCCTCTCTCCCTCTCTAGATCTTACAAGAAGATCTCTCTCAAGAAGATCCTCCTCCTTGAGTTTCAACACGTACCCACCTATACCCACCTATACCCACCTATACCCACCCACTTTTCATGCTTTTTGAATGCAGTCTGTCACAGAATGATGGCCTTGAGGCTTGTTGCCCTTTGATCTGATTGCAAACTTTCAAGCCGCATATCAGAATTTATTATAGTCACAACGTGGTTAAATGTTGCACACTACATAGTAAGGATTGCAGTAATATAAGATATACGGTGAGTACTCATCGGCTATACACACCCACAAGGCCATAGGCGTACCCATACCCACCCACCCATTGGGTATGGGTCGGTACATTGGTGGGTATGGGTATGGATACCCAATGCAAGGCTCTGCTATGTATCTTCCTAATTAATTGATTAAAGCATAAAAGGAATTTCTCAACAACTAAAAAAAGAAATTCTTAAACGTAAAAAGTAAAAAACTAAAAATAACTTCAATTTTATAATAATGAGCATTAAAATAATAGTAACTTATATTGTAATAAACATAAAAATAATAATGATTTAATTCTAATTTACATTTTACTTTAAAATAAAATCATTTTATATCCTTAAAATTTTTTGAAGATACTATTATGCTATTCTAAAATAGATTAAATAAATTTGAAACTCATATTAATAAAATTCAAAATTTTTAATAATTTGAATGTATAAATTAGAAAGAGAAAGTTCATTGTTTGGTTTTAAATGTTTAAATATCAATTATTATTGTGAGCTATCAAATTCGGTGTGATAGACTAGCGATGACGATTGAGTTGTGGTCCAACAACTGGGAGGTGTTTGGGTGGAGCCTAACTTCCAACATTCAAAATAAAAAATCAAGCCTTAGAGCCGAGCTCGAGTCTCATATTTTTCAAACAAATAGCTCAAGTTTAACAAATAAGCTCGACTTGAGCAAAATGGTCAAATTTAAGTTATTTTTATATTAACTTTCAAATAAACGTTCTTTAATGATCAAAGTAGACCACTTCAATTCTTTCATTCGGAAAAGTGAAAACAATTAAAAATAAAGATTAATTAATTTAAACTTATATATATATAATTTATTTTCATTTTTCATGAAACTAACTGTGAATGACAGAAGCTTAGTGAAATAACAAAAAAACTAATTTGTCATATATATATTTACGTTATTGCCTTTTTTTTTAATCCCAAAAGATGATGAGATTATGATGCAGCTAACAGCCAAAAGTGTTTTTACAAAACCAAAAAAAAAAAAGGAAAACCAAATTACAAAACTGCAAAATGATTGTTAATTTTTTAAACAGCAAAACAATAACTATATCAAATTCACTTGGTGACATCTGCTCAAAACTCTTGGAAGCCTTTTCCATTTCCCCATATTCTCTCACCCATCACCCCTACAAAGCCCCTCTTCAGCCCCTATGCAACAGTGTCTCAGGTCTCCACCTCTTCTCCTTTCCCCCTTTCCTTTTTGCCTCCCCACTTAACACTGAACAAAAGCTGCGTCTTTCAACTTTTCATTTTATGAACATGCCTAGTTGAAAGAGGCAAAAGAACAATAGGGAAAACACTGGCTCCTCCTCCTTCGATCTACATAATCTCCATCAAGATTATATTTGAATAGAAATGGGTATAAAATCTGATTGTGCTTCTTCCATTCTCCTATGCGCTGAGGACAACAGCAGCATCTTAACCTTTGGTGAGGAAGAAGAGGTTGAGAGGCATTGGCCCGATTGGTCCTTTCAGCCAAAAAGCTGTGATTTTTATGGGTCTTTCTTCATGGATTTTCCCCTTCTATCTGATGAGTGCTTGGGCTTATTGATAAAGAGGGAGGTGGAGCATCTTCCCCGGGATGACTACGCCAAGAGGCTGATGAGTGGGTGTATGGAGTTTTCGATCAGAAGAGATGCCATTGATTGGATTCTAAAGGTGCGATTTTTAACTATCTTTTGCTCATAATATTCCCCAAATCGATTCTGTTCATCTTCTGGTTATTACTTTCATGGTTTTTGATTTATGGATTTGCATTCCAAGGGGTTTGCTATCACTTGTTTTGGTCAAGATCTTTCACTATTCTCTGAGCATCCTTACATTTTCAACTTGTTTACTTCATTAATTGCCATCTTTGTCTTTGGTGATGGTAGGTCTTCTTTTCTAGCTGCCTTTACACTTTTTTGATGCTTAAATTTGTACATGGCTCTTGATTTGTTCTAATAATTAACTTGTTTTTCTTTACCTAATCGTTTCCTTTTGATGCTTGTAATGGAATTTATTTAGGCCACATTTTAATGTTACTAACGCATCTTCTTATGCCACTGTCAGGTTCACGCTTATCACAAATTTGGACCGTTTAGTGCTTACCTTTCTGTAAATTATTTGGATAGATTCCTGTCGTCCTATGAGCTCCCTGTAATTCCTCCAATTTTTTAATGCTAGAAATTTTTTTGTTAATCATCACAAATGTTCCATCTTCCATATCTCATGATTCAATTCTATTTCTGTAGCAAGGCAAAGCCTGGATGACTCAGTTGTTATCTGTAGCCTGCTTATCTTTGGCTTGCAAAATGGAGGAGATAAAAGTCCCTCTATTGCTTGATCTTCAGGTAGTAAAGAAAATACATCAAACTGGAGTTCTTTGATGTACTTGATGAATGGAAATTCCATCTAAATTTGTTGGTTTAATAGGTGGGTGAGACCAAATTTGTCTTTGAGGCTAGGACTATTCAAAGAATGGAACTTCTGCTGCTAAGCACCCTCAACTGGAGGATGCAAGCTGTGACTCCTTTCTCCTTCATAGACTACTTCCTTCACAAGCTCAATGGTGACAATTCCCCTTCTGCGACATCCGTCGCTCGAGCAGTGGAGCTCATCCTTCGAACCATTCGAGGTAGTTGATTTCTTTAGAGTAACACTATCTGAATCTCTTTATGATTCAGAGAGGATTGAATGAACAAAGTTGTCATTTTTAATTGATGCAGGTATTGATTTCCTTGCATTCAGGCCATCTGAAATTGCTCTGGGCACTACACTATCGGTGCTTGGTGGAGCACAACCTCTAGATGCCATGGAGACCATCATTTTCTGCAACAAGATAGATAAGGTTAAGATTTATTCATATCAGATCATAATCATATTATTTTCTACTTACAAGTAAGTCATTGAGCAAGAACAGTGGTATAATGATTGCAGGAGAGAGTGCTAAGATGTTACGAAGTGATACAGGAGGAAATAATAAATGGTTGTGAAGATCCAATGAGTGGGATTCCATCAGTTCTTTCTTTGCCACAGAGCCCAATCGGGGTTCTGGATGCTGCTTGTCTGAGCTACAATAGTAATGAACCGATATCTATCTCCCAATCAAGTTGGTACCTTTCTTCTCCAGCAGCAAAGAGAAGGAAAATTAGCTTGTCATCCACCTCAATAAGGGGAACAGAGATTTCTTTTTGATTCAGTATTGATTAAAGAGTCTGAGCGGCTCAATGATTATATGTTATTGAGTTTGATTTGGTGTGAATGAGAGCTCTGAATTGTTCTGGAGATTTTTTAGGAGATGGATGAAAACTTGAAACAGAGAAGGAAAAAAGAAGGAAAAGAACAGTTGCCAATGATTTTTCAAGATGAACAGGAAGAAAAATAGAAGAATGAGAAGAAAGGCTTCTGTGTGTTTGCTGTTCTTCTTCTGTTTCCATTTTTATTAAAAAAATGATAATGACCATTTTCGGGATAACAAATTAAAATTTTGGTTTGCTTTCTCTAATGCCAGAACAAAGAAGCAGTAGAGATAATTGTTTTGGAGAATATTATTAAGTTAAACTAAATTTGCTGTAATTTTGGCGTGTTTCTTCTATTGTTTGACTGACTGTCTGCTTAGACTATTGAATTTACTGCTCCTGTAGCATTAAAGAAGGGGGATCTTGGGAACACAACATAAAGTCTTGGTGAGTAAAATTTATATAACTAGTGCGGGCATCCAGTAGCAAGTCCCATGGACGTGGCTCCTCTCAAATTTTCACATTAATTATACATGTGATGTTATAATCACTTTGTTTGTGACAACTTTCTTATTATTTCATAAAATAATTTTTTACTGTGTGGATTCCGGACGTCGTCCGGAGGATAATTGATGTGGAATGACTCCTGTTCCAGATGGGGGCTAATCCGCTGAGTTACTGTTGAACCAGAGGAGCATTATACACAGATTCCTTTTTACCGTTAGGATACCTTTTTGTTCCACTACTATCCTAACTACTTATAGTATTACAGCACTTATGCACTTTTCATTTGCTTTTAGCTTTCTTAGTATTATACCTGCGTATATGAGGCAGAGAAGGTTGGGGAAGGAAGCAGCTTTTATGATATAGAAATATTGCTCAAGCAATTTACTGTTCCATTGGTTTCTTTGCTTTCTCTGTGTCTTTGTTTTTGTTGCTCCCACATCAATAATCATAGTGCCCCGCATCACCCGTTTGCTGGGTACCGTTGCTCGATATTATTTTGTGTCAGGTGATGTGGTGCACTGTAATTCACTCTAGATGGTTGTGATTGATTCTCAAAGCTTTTATGAGTTACGTAAAGTTAATATCAATCATTCAAAAATCAAAATGAATTGGAGAGTCAAAATGATTATAATTGCATAAGTGTGATAACCATGGTAGTTTGAGAGGATATGATTGTAATTGCAGGTTTAAGTGCCCTATGTTTAAAGGCATTAAGAAGCAAGTAATTCATAAAATGCTTTTGAGTTCAAATAACCTATATTAGATAGCTCAAAACAGACAATGACATTCATAAGTATGATAAATAATAAATATATTTGTATATAAGTCGATGTATTTGGGATATTTATGAAAAAAAGGAATAATTTTTTTAAACTTTTGTAAATAAAAATGATATTTTGACATGTTATGTAAACAATGACAACTATTTATCTTAAGTAACAATCTCTTGAAACACTAGTGGTGTTATTAGGGATTGTTATGAAAAAAATGGCACTATTAATATGGTTCATTAGGAAACCATAACATGACATTATTAGTTTCATGATAAATCCTAATAGTATTGCTAGAATTTCAAGATAAATATTAGTAGTATTGTCAAACATTTAAGCAATCTTGGCATAAGACTAGGATTAGTTGCCCTTGTTTATAAACGAGTGTTAATTATTGTTATAGTCTGTGAATAATTGAAATGAAATTATTGTCATTTTTTCACCCTAAAAGAAAAGCAAACATTAGAGAGTTTTATACATATATATCATGATGTTTCATTTGATTGTTAGAGGATTGAACCAATATCTAATTACAAGTTGAAGATTGTACAATTAGAGTCCTATTCTATTTTGATTATATAGTTTTCTCCTTTAGTCTCTTATTGTATTTGTTACATTTTCTAATGTATTTTTTTTTAGTTCAATTGAAAATATAAAATCTTTATTTTTTGTCTAGGACAATTCTATTTTTACTCAATCAGTCAATAAGATGTTCATCAATAACTCAATAAAAATATCATATCATTATTCAAATATTATACGCTAATATAAGAGCATTGATCCATCCCCAATTCCACTCCCCTCCAATCGTAACTTTAGATTGCACTCTAGAACTTGCAAAAGAGGTCACAAGCCTCCCCTTCCAAGTTCTTGATCTTAACCTTTAGAATAGAATCATTGCTTGTACACACTTGCTCACTAGCCAACATATTCATCTTCTTATCCTTACAACTCCAAATTGATGCTTCCCCCCTCTTTCCCCATTAACATTGCTCCCAATACCAATTACCAATCATGTGGGTGAATGCTACAGAAATCCTACATACACATGCTCTTATTGTGCATCACTTTACCTTCACCACCACCAAGTGCATGCTTTGATGTATCTCCAAAACACCCTAAGGCTCAAGTGCTCTCCACAACTTTAACACCCCAATCACAGCTTGTGCAGCTCTATCTATAATAACAGCTTGGTGCCTCATTGGTCAACAACTGCACCTCATGTTATGATCAATCTTCTAGCCTTCCCATGGCCTCCCACAACAAACATTGGTGCTTTGCACCACATCTTACCTTATGCCCTCTATCCACATGTAACAAGTCACTCTCATGATGGCCCATCACCTCATCCTTATCTTGGCTATTGCCAAGCTCATGAAATTCCTAGGTTACAGAATCAAACCATGTCCTACTTTTCAATTGGTTTACTCCCAACCCACCATTGGTTTTCACACTAATATCATAATGTAGAGTTCTCCTCAATCTAAATTTAGGTAGACACAATCCTTGTAACAATTCAAAGATACTAAAAGCATTTTAAATGAAAAATATGAATTTTTAAATTGCTGATTAAACTAGAGTGCTTCGGTGCTGTACAAGTAAACACTACAACGGTAGGGTTGAGACCATTATAGCTCCAAAAACTGTCGTTGCGAGAGTGGTGTCTCTATTATACTGTAAATTTGATTTAGGGCATGCGGCGTTGGGGCTGAGCACTACGGTGCTAGGCCATTAAAAATATTTTTTTCCTTAAATCCACCTTGCCGCCTCCCTCACCCCTCACTCGCATGTCTTGGCTAGGAAGGAATCATAGTAGGGAGAAGAGAAGAGAGAAAGTCCTTTAGGACATTTTTGTCCTCCGTTCCTTTGACGAAAAGTATTTTAATCATTGTAAGTAGCTATCCTCTTACTTTTGTTATCGATTATTTTATTTTTTAACGGATTTATCTCTCCTAAATTTGCAAAAATACATTATTTCCTTATTTTGTACGATGTCACTGCATAACTTTGGTTATGTTATATATTTGATCATTATGAATAATTTGATATAATTTTCTTATATTTTCTCCGACTAAATTTGTTTATAGGAATTTTCTGTGAAATGTGTGGGAAAATGTGTATTGAAATTGAAGTGGAAAAATATGCATTGAAATTGAAGTGGAAAGTGATGAAATGTGATTGGTGAGAAGTACTGAACTGTAAAACATGTTGAAATGATTGACAGGTATTGGAATATAATACTGATTTAAATTCAAAAGAACAAGATATATTGTACTTATGCTGATATTGATCTAATGAAAAAGGAGTTATTGATTGATATCAAATATATAATATGATAACCCTATAATGATGCAACAATTTCAGAGTAACGATTGGGAGTCATAAGAAGCTGGCAACTGATTGGGAGTCATAAGTGTAGGAACAATATACCCTCTTTTGAATATCTAAACTCAGTACATATACTTATTACTGTTATTGATTACTCATTACTATTACTTATGATATCAATCATTATTACTAATTAACAATTACTTATGTAATTACTGATACTGTTATTGTTAATATTGTTACTATTGTTGAGACTGTTCATTATTATTATTGTTGAGACTGTTCATTGTTACTGATACGGATCACTATTATTGACATATTGGATTGCAATGTGATGTATAATAAATTGAGCAATTGGCACAGATAACCGACATAGATATTTATTTAGTAATCTAGTATTTTCAAAATTATTTAAGTTTGTTTAATTAGCTAAACAAAAGATCATAAACGAGCTGCAATCGAGCCGAGTCATGAATAGCCTGTCGAAAGCTTGATTCGTTTGAAGCCCTAATTTAAGCCCTTGTGGATGTAATTTAAGCCCTTGCAGTTGCATCCACGCTTGCACATACCGTTGCAGTTCATTTAAACTTTTGTATGTATGTACTCTGTTCATGTGACTTTTAATACATAAAAGCCTAATCACTAGGTGAAGAAGAAGTGGATAGAGATAGCATATGAGACATTCTTTATAGAAATTCATCTATATAAAGATTTATGGTTTTAAAACCATCAATAATAGAGACTTATGAATATAAATATAAGTATACAGATAAATGATGATGTGGAGTTTCTTATAGTAAAATTCATAAAGAATTTCTTTTGGGATTCTGCCCAATAAAATCAAGGTCCTTTCACAGATTAATTATTCTGTGCGGATGCCGAACACCGTCCGCAGACCAACTAAAATGCGTCATGTCACCGTTGTACTCGGTACTGCTCGGTACCGCGGCTTGATACCGCTGTCGTGACGCATTCTTAGGGCTGTCAATATTGGAGCCGACCCGAAAATTTCGGGTTTGGGATGACCCGAACCCGAAACAGGTCGGTTTTAGGTTCAACAATTTGACCCGTTTAAAAAATTGGGTCGGGTTCGGGTTGACCTTTGACCCGAAATCGACCTGTTTGTAACCCGAAAACCCATTTTGACCCAGCAAACCGAGATTGATCCGCTTTTTACCCGATTTTGACCCGAAAAAAAGAGATTGACCCATTTTTAGACCAAAAAAATAACAGATTTTTATTGTTCTAGGGTCATTCAGGTCGGGTCGGGTTGACCCGGATCCGAAGCGGATCGGGTTCGGGTCCAGAAAATCGAACTGTTTGCAAAAACGGGTTGGGTTGACCTGAACCCGAATAATACCAGGGTCAGTTCGGGTTCAACCCGAACCAGAGTCGTAACCCGAAATTGACACCCCTACGCATTCTGGTTGGTCTCCGGGCGGGGTTTTGAATCCGGTCTCCGCATAGTATAATTTCTCGCTTTCATCTGATTTAGCTGAGATTGTTGGGCAAAAGAGAAATAAAATGGCCATTACATGTCCACCATGCTGAATAATCTAATACTGAAACCAAAATAGATTGGACCACTGTAACTATGTCCTTATTATATTCTTTCCAACATTATTTGTTGAATATATTCTTATAGAACTATTTAATTTCCCTTTGTTAGATTTGTATTTGATGTACAATAAAGGTCACATTGGATTGACTACTTGACTTAAGGAGAGCAGTA